CCGTGGGAGCCGAGCAGCTCGACAGTGAGTCTGGGGTGCACCGGGGAGGGCGGGATTTGGAGCCATGGGGGTCCTGCTGACCCCCCTGCTCCCCACAGTGGCAGGTGCATTTCGACTGCTTCCCGGTGGAGAGTGGGCAGCAGGTCCTTGTCTCCCTCCGCACCATCCCTGACAGAGGCTTGGTCCTGAGGCGCAGCTGCCTGGTCACTGCTGAGCTCCCTGGTGAGGCTGAGGGAGACCCTCGGGGTGTCCCGGAGGGGATGTCAGGACCAGCTGACCCCTGTCTGCTCCACAGGGCCCATCTTCACTCACGCCTGGGTCCCCGAGGCACGGGCCATCGAGGTGTGGGTGCCTGAGGGTCCTGCCCTGAAGGTGCGGCTGTGCCACCAGCTGGCCCTGGAATGTGAGGAGCTGCCTCGGCCTTTCCACCGGCAGGTAATGGCTCTGGCCAGCCTCGCCCACCCCCGGCGAGGGGCTTCTGTGCTTCCCACCAGCTGATGCTTCCTCCACGCCCACAGGTACTGGTGGAGGGGGGCCACCACGTCTCGCTGCCATACGAGTTCCTGGTGCCCTGCCTGTGCATTGAGGTGTGTTACCCTCCCCTGTGGCTGCTGGGCCCCTCTCCCTGCACATCTCTGCCTGTGCAGCAAGGGGAGGCTGATGAGATGGGGGCTTATCCTGCCCTGACCACCCCGCTCTACTCCCCCAGGCCTCCTACTCCCACCATGACAGCCCACGCAGCAAGCACTGCCCCTTCCGTGACCAGCCATCCACTTGTGAGTGCTTGGGGAGCTTGGTCCTGGGGGTCCCCCTGGCTGTCCTCCCAACCCACTGACCTGTTGCCCTGCAGATGGTCCTGAGCTATGGTCCTCGGTGCGCTTCCACGACTACAGCACCAGCAGCAAGGACCAGATGGCTATGGTGCTGAGTTCCAGCTGCCCCCTGCACCCCCGGGCCACCCTGTGCTGGAGGGAGACGGCAGCCGAGTCTGCACCTTGCCATGATGTCCCCAACTCCACGGCCAGTGAGGAGGACCAGGTAGAAGGGCCTGGCCTTTGAGATGCTATGGGGCCATCAGTCCAGGGGGGTGCAGGGCTATGACCGTGGCTGGGGCACCCACAGGACTCCAGGGTCCATTGGGGGCAGTGGGCAGGTGTGGGGGTGCCCATGGGCTGTGTGGGTTGGGGACAGTGATGGTGACACCTTCTCTGCCCACTCTAGGCATACACACTGGACAAGGTGGACGTGCATCCCCAACTCTGCTTCCGAGTAAGCCCCTGTGGACGGGTGGGCACTGCCTGGGAAGGGGCTGGGGGCAATGGAGGGCGATGGCAGCTCACCCAGCCCCTCCTCTAACACCCACTTCCTCAAGTTCTCCTACAGGAACAGCAGCCACGTGGAGTGTCCTCACCAGCCAGGTGAGACCGGTGGGTGGGGGCCACCCGTGGGTGGAGTTCAGCCGTGCCTCAGGGTCCCTCACATCCCCTTGAGCATTCCATGAGTCCCCCCCTCTCTTTCTGGTGGCTGCAGAGACTGCCTGGAACGTCTCGGTGAGCGTCCGAGGGCTGCAGCTACGCCTGCACCTCACCTCCAGCATCCCCGCAGCCTTCAGCGCAGCCCTGTGCCAGCGCCGGGGCGGGCAGTGCGAGCCCGAGGCCCCCCTCTACACTGTCACACGGGTGAGCAATGTGGGGATGGGGGGAGAGACACTGGGGGGGCCGGCCCATGCTGACCCTGCCCTTGTGCTTTGCAGCCCGAGGGCTCTGCCCCAGGGGAGATGGCGCTGCTGCTGCCTGTGCAGGTCCTGGGCAGCTGCGTGCTGGTAAGGTGACCCCCAGACTGGTGCCTGCACCGTGGGGCAGACCCCAACCTGGTCCCCCCTCACCCAGCCCCTTCCTCAGGTGTGGCGCTCAGATGTGCGTTTTGCTCGGAAGCAGCTGCTGTGTCCTGATGGTGAGTGAGGGTCCTGGGGGGGCAGCAGGGGTGGGCAGACAGCCCCCACTCACCACCCTTCTCCCAGTCTCCCGCAGGCACTTCGGGCTGCTGGGGCTGGCACTGGCACTGGGGCTGGTGGTGACCCTGCTGCTCCTCAACTGCCGCAG